CTCAGAGGGCCCCGTATCCGGGAGATGGCGGATCGCCTCCATTTTGGTGGCATATTTTTCCTAGCTTAATTCTAACACTATCTGCTATCTCACTTTTTGCATTTCGGGCTTCTACGCCCAGGGAATAATCTTTTAAGTTTTGAGAATATTATTTCAAGAAACAGCTGATTGTCAAAAGGCCAGCTCCGCTGCTGCTGCGCCACTGCGTTTCGCCATTCCATCGCCTCTGCCAAGCCCTTGCCCTGAAGACTCAGTGTGGCTACCCCATGAGGCTCCCGGGGAAGAGCCTGGCCTTTGGACTCCAGTCCTTGGAGGGAGTTATAGTTTCCCAAGGACCAAAGACCAACTCGATCTTGGCGCTGCAGGAATCCATTTCTTGGCTCAGTGGAAATCTCCCAGCTCCTTTTGTGGCTGTTGGACTTTCTTCAAAACTTTTTTTGGATCAAATGAACTCATTTTCCCTTATGAAGTTGCAGATCCATCGTTGCTTGGGTTCACAGTGCTCTCTGGATGTAGGTGAACTACAACTCCCCCAAATTAGGGTGGATTTTCCCCATAGACCTCCAGTGCTTTTTGCTTGTCATAGGGGCTCTGTGTGCCAAATTTGGTCCAATTCCATCTTTGGTGGAACTCATTGATTGCAGGTGAACTACAAATCCCAGTAGCTTCAACTCCAGGCCAATTCCTCTCAAAACCCACCAGTATTCAAATTTGGGCATATCGGGTATGCGTCCCAAGTTTGGTCCAGATCCATGGTTATGTTGTTATGTTATGTTATGTTATGTTATTGAGTATAATTTTGCTTTATCATCTTTGTACTCATATGTTGTATGTATTTTACTGTGTTGTTATTGTGTTTTGGTTTTACTTTATTGTAATATGCTGTTGGGCATGGCCTCATGTAAGCCACCCCGAATCCCCATTGGGGAGATGGTGGCGGGGTATTAAATAAAGATTATTATTATTATTATTATTATTATTATTATTATTATTATTATTATCAACATCATCATTGTTTGGGTTCATAGTGCACTCTAGATGTAGGTGAACTACAACTCTAAACCCCTCCAAAGACCTCCAGTATTTTTTCTTTCTCATGGGGCTCTGTGTGCCAAGTGAGTTCCAGGTCCGTCATTGGCAGAGTTCAGAGTTCTCTTAGAACTCTGAACTATACATCCCAGTACCTACAATTCCTCTAAATTATGGTGAATTCTTCCCAAACCTCTCTAGTATGTTCAGCTGCTGATCAATTCCTCTGTTTGCCGTGTGGCATAGAAAGGAATAGGAAAGGGTTAAGGGAGAGACAGTGGGTGGGGTTATGCAAATTCCACACAAATGGAAAGAGAAAGGAACTCTGGGATGTCTGTGGTTGAGGAAAAACAGAAAATCTAGGATGAAATTGTCCTTGAATGAAAGCCTTCAGTTGGATGGTGTTGGTGGAGGACATTGGCAGGGCTCTTGGACATGTTCATGGCGCTCACTCTAACCTGCAATGCCATTGGAGGGGAGGCCATTGGTGTTTCCTGAGGAGTGGGAGATGTAGCTGTTTGTGGAGGCAGGAGCTGTCTGTGTAAGTGGGCACCCCAGCCACACACATACATATTTTATTGTGTCTGTTTGTGTTGTTGTCACACATAGCATATAATGAACCTGGACCACACTTAGCACACAGAACCCCCATGACTAACTCAACCTACTAGAGGGGTTTGAGAGGACAGGACTGACTTACCACAGTGGGAGTTGTAGTTTATCCTGGAGCCAGAGGTCACTTATGATCATCTGAAGAGGCCTTGCTTACGATCCCACCTGCATTGCAGGCACGATTGGTGGGGACGAGGGACAGGGCCTTCTCGGTGGTGGCCCCTAGACTCTGGAACTCTCTCCCTAAGGACATCAGGCATGCCCCAATGCTGGCAGTTTTTAGGAGGAGCTTGAAAACGTGGTTGTTCCAGTGTGCCTTCCCAGAATAAGGAAACTCCAAGCAAGATGTCCCCAAATGCACTTTACTAGAGATCTAGGATATCTGCACACCCCATCCCCCTCCAAATACCTATCCTTTTCACCTGGTCATGCTCAGCATACTTGTAAATTTTAATTATTACATTTGGCCCTGCCATAGATTTTAATGTGTCGTGGTATGTTGTTAATGTTTATTGCTTTGTTTTGAGTTCATTTATTGTTGTATTGTTGTTGTCGTTGTTTTTACTGATGTATGTGGGCTCGGCCTCTTGTAAGCCACACCGAGTCCTCCGGGAGATGGTAGCGGGGTATAAATAAAGTATTATTATTATTATTATTATTATTATTATTATTATTACTATTATATTGAGCAAGAATTTGGGGATCTTTGCCTTGAAGACAGAGACCAATCAGACCCACCAAAGAGGACCCGTTTTAACTCTGGCGAGAAGGAAGCACCAAATGTAATTTTCCTAATTTTCCCAAATAAATCTCACCAAAGTTGAAGAAAATGCCACCTAGTTGTTTATTTCATTCCAGCTGGAGCAAATGCCAAACTGCAATCATTTTCCAAAGCCAACATAAAGCACAAGGCAAAACAGCACATTTTTATAGAGAAACAGAACTGTCAAATTCAAACTTCCCGCTCCTGCTCCCCCTCGCCAGCTTTGCGCTGATTCGTTGGAGTCATCAGCTGGAGGGGAGGCGTAGCTGGCTCAGCTGTGCCTCAGCCAATAGGAGAGCCAGCGCCGCTTTGGTCTCCCGGCCAAATGACCTAATGTTTGTACAATTATCGGCGATAACTTTTTAAGTCCTCAAGCTGGCTTCTTTTATTGTCCTGAGTGCTTGAAATATACCTCTTTGTCTGACTCGGAAGTCAGCCCTTTATAATCCTTAGGTCCAGGATATGGATTTAGTGATGATATCTGACTGTAGTATCAGCCGGAGGAATGGAAACAAAGAGATAGGCTGTGGTGACATCTATCTAGATCCTCCGGAGGCGAGATGTCACCTTTTGTGAGGAGTGATTAAATCTGCCATGGGGCACATCCTTCAGATGGGCTAACTTGGGTTACTCCGAGGTCTAAAGGATTATGCACATTATTTATTTATTTATTTATTTATTTATTTATTTGACTTGTATACCGCTACTCCCAATTTGGCTTGGAGCTGTTTACAGCAGTAGATTAAAACAATACAATTAACTTTAAAATACAGTAAAACAACAACAGACATAGTTCCGAGTTATTCACCCATCGAATGCTTGTCGGAAGAGAAAGGTTTTACAGGCTCTCTGAAAAGCAAGTAGGTCTCGGATAGATTGGGTTTCAACTGGCAAGGCATTCCATAAATAAGGGGCTACAATCGAGAAGGCTCTCTGCCTAGTAGATGATAAATCCGGATGTTGGGGACTTCAAGCAAATTTTGGTCTTCGGACCGAAGTAATCTCTGGGGTTGGTAGGGGGATAAGCGGACCCTCAGGTACCCCTCAGGTAACCTTTAAGGCCTTAAAGGTTAATACCAGCACCTTGAAAGTAATCCAGTAATCAATCAGTAGCCAGTGCAGCTGTTTTAGAATTGGGGTGATATGACACCTTGCCGGCGTCCCGGCATTTTGCACCAGCTTCAGTTTCCAGATCACTGACAAAGGAAGGCCAATGTAGAGGGTGTTACAGTAGTCAAGCCTCGAGATGACTGTCGCCTGGATCACCGTAGCCAGGTCATTCCTAGATAGGTAGGGAGCCAGTCGCCTAGCCTGATCTTATTGTCCATGCAAGAGTTTCTGTTGAGTCCTTTTGTCAGGGGATTTAGTGGGCTTCAAGAAATGTGAAACTTTTTAGAGGTGGCATTTTATATTACATATAGGGATATGGAGGGAGGCATGCAGGGGGACCATAGGGGATACATTCATATAGAGGGAAGAAGAAATCATATCAGCCCATCCCACCCACCAGGGTCCATTGAAAGTTCATAAATCATAGCGAGAGTCCATGGGGGTTTGAAGGGGAAAAGTTTCCAAAAAGTTTTAAAAGTTTTCCGAAGTGGGCAAAAGTTTGATAAGAGACCAAAAGAGTTCATGAATAAAGGGGAAATGTTCTTAAAAGTCCATTGAGTTCGCACTGGGATCACTACAGAGTGCTGAGGATCCTGAGGGGTCCATTCATTTGGGAGAAGAAAACTATAAATCCCATCTCGTCAAGGGGACAGGGTGACCTGCCTGCTTCCCAGGGGGTCCCAAGGGGTGATTGCAGCAGGTTCCCCAGGTCAACAGGCTTCTGGACATCAACAGGACAGCGGCAGGAACAATGTTGCAGCAAGGAGCCAAGGATCACAATCAGCTGGTCTCCACATGGAATTTTTAGGGTGAAAAAGGTTATTCCCAGAGCGTAGGAGTCCAGAATGCAAAAAGCGAGATAGCAGTTAGTCTTAGAATTCGTCTAGGTCGGAAGAAAATTGCGCCAGTTTGAACGCGATCCATTGACCCGTGAATACAGGGGCCCCATGGGTCTCCATATCCACGGTCCAGGGGACCGCAGTTTCGGCCTCCCCGGGATGCTAGAAATGCATCCCGGGTGAGCCGACAGCGATCTGTGGCTCGGGAGAGGGAAGGTTCATGCTGGAGAGAGTTAGAGGCCGTAAAAGGACACCCAGTAGAGGAAAAAGTTACAATTTGATGATACTTTATTTGGGGATTTGTTACAATGTTAGGGTGAGAGGAAGAAAGCAAGGCAAAGGGAGGTTTTTAGTTGAAGCTCTGCTATGGTCACACTCCCAGCGATGCTGGCCCAATCGGACAACCAGGAACTGCGGGACCCCCTGCTGCAGGTCAGATCAGCTTGAACGCAGGGAGCACTCCGTTGCCCGTCATTATATATTTATGCTGTTTACGGGTGAGGGAAAATGTTGGGTTTGTAAACATAAGAGAAAGAAGCAACTCTCTGGACAGGAAAAACCTTTATTAAAGGAATCTAGCCCCATAGACTTGTTTAAGACTCCACAGACATTGGATCACGATACTTAAATAACACCGTAATAATACAAATATGTTTTCCAAGGTCGACAAGGGCTTTTAAATACAAACAAAGGGTGCTAAATTTAAAGGGTGCTATTCCTTAAATATTAGGAAGGGTTTCCTGATGGAGAGAACAATTCCATCTTTTTCCGATAGCCTCTTTGTTGTTGTTGATGCCCAACGGCAACTCCATCTCTGGAGTTGCAGAACTTTTTCTTTATCCTTTGGACACCAAAATGATGATGTTCTTCAGGATGGACTAAAATTGAGATGAAAAACAAAACGAATGCGGGAGAAATGCACGGAGTTGTCCATGTTTCCCAGCTAAGGGTTGAGCTCTCTTCTCGTTCTGGGCATGCTTTGGACCAACCTTAGTGTCTTGTGGCTCAAAGTCCCAACCGGCCTCATATCAAAAGGCCTTCTTTGGTTGAGGCCTGCATCATGACGACAGCACTCTTGTAGTGCTTGGTGTTCCCGTCCTTCCAGCGGACGCAGCCTGGCTCCGAAGCAGGGCTGTCGAAATTGTGTAAGCTGGAGTAAACCTGAGACTGGCTAGTGTGGTTCTTGCCCTTGGCGTATTGGACGGAGGAGTCGGCGAGGGGATACGGGTCTCTCCGTTTGGAGGCATAGCCGTGGCTGGCGAGAGGCTCTTGCTCCGAACTGGGCAGAGAGACGGGTTCCAGGTCGCTGTCAGAAGGAGAGGCCATCTTGACCTGGACGATGGGAGGGATATACTTGCAGCCGGGGGTTCGGTGGCCAGTCCGGAACTGGTAGCCCAGCAGGGAGTGGAGGCTGCCCGTCTGGCTCAAGGCCTGGCTGCAGGGTCGGCTCGGAGGAGCATCGGCATCCACACTGGGAAGGAAAAAGGTCAGAGATTGTGAAACATGTCATGGCAGAGCTTTCCAAACATTTCGTGTTTTGGAGACACACATCATTTCACAACACGGGAATTCAGCTTCATGTAAACTGCCTACTTTCCCCCTTCTCCAGATCTGAGAAGGAATAATTTCCATGGCAATGCTGGGCTGGCTCTTTCTTTCCTTTCTCCATTTCCCTCATTCACCTTCTCCTTCTCTTTTTTCTCCTTCCTTTCTCTCTTCCCTTGCTTTTCTTCATACACATTCTTTCCTCTTCCTTACTTCTTTCCTTCTTTTTTCTTTCTTTCTTTCCTTCCTTCTTTCCTTCCTTTTCCTTCTCTTCTTCCTTCCTTCCTTCCTTGTTTCCTTCCTTCCCCTTCCCTTCCCTTTTCCTTCCTTCCTTCCTTCCTTCCTTCCTCTTCCCTTCTTTTTCTTTCTTTCTTTCCTTCCTTCCTTTCCCTTCCCCTTTCTTTCTTTCTTTCTTTCTTTCTTTCTTTCTTTCTTTCTTTCTTTCCTTCCTTCCTTCCTTCCTTCCTTCCTTCTTTCCTTCTTTCCTTCTCTTTTCCTTCTTCTTCTTTCCTTCCTTCCTTCCTTTCTTTTCCTTTCTTTTCTTCCTTCCTTTCTTCTTCCTTCTTTTCTTCTCCATTCCTTCCTTTTCTCCTTCCTTCCTTTCCTTCTTCCTTCCTTTCTTTCTCTTCTTCTTTTTTCCTCCCCCCTTCCTTTCTTTTCCCTTCTTTTTCTTCCTTCCTTTCCTTCATCTCTTCATTTCTCCATTCCTTATTCTTCCCTTCTTTCCCATCCTTTCCTTCCTCTCATACCTTTCCTTTCTATTCCTTTCTTCCTTCCTTCCCTCTTTATCTTTCTTCCTTCCCTTAATTCATCCTTTCATCCTTCCTTTCTCTTCCCCTCCTTTTCTTCCTTCCTTTCCTTCTTTTCTTCCCTTTCTCTTTTTTTCTTTTCTCCCTCCCTTTCTTTTCCCTTCTTTTTCTTTTTTCTTTCTTTTCCTTCATCTCTTAATTTCTCCGTTCCTTATTCTTCCCTTCTTTCCCATTCTTTCCTTTCTCTCATGCCTTTCCCCCTTTCCTTTTAACCCCCTTTCCCTTCTTTTTCTTTCTCCCTTCCTTTTAAATCATCTCTTCCTCCTTTCTTTCTCTTCCCTTCATGTTCTTCCTTCCTTCCTTCCTTTCCTTCATTCATCCTTTCTTTCTTTCTTTCTTTCTTTCTTCCCTTCTCTTCCTTCAACTTTTTGTTCCTCCTTTCCTTATTCTTCCCTTCTTTCCCATTCTTTTCTTTCTCTCATGCCTTTCCCCCTTTCTTTTTAACCCCTTTTCCCCTTCTTTTTCCTTCTTCCTTTCTCTCTTTCCTTCTTTCTTTCCCTTCCTCTTTCTCTCCTTCCTTCCATCCATCCATCCTTTCTTTCTTTCTTTCTTTCTTTCTTTCTTTCTTTCTTTCTTTCTTTCTTCCTTCCTTCCTTCCTTCCTTCCTTCCTTCCTTCCTTCCTTCTCTTCCTTCAACTTTTTTCCCTCCCTTCCTTATTCTTCCCTTCTTTCCCATTCTTTTCCTTTCCTTCCTTCCTCTTATACCTTTCCCCTTTTCCTTTCTGTTCCTGTCTTCTTTCCCTCCTTTTCCTTTCCTTCTGCTCTGTCCCTTCCTTCTCCCTTCATATCTTTTCATTCTCCTTCCTTCCTTCTCTCCCCCTCACCTAGAAGCGGCCAATCCACTTGGCTCCCTTTCTTTCCCAGTGACATCACAGAGGGCCACTTCACCTGGCTTTTCTTCCCTCTGCTCTGTGTCTGAAAGGGGTGGGATTATTTTTTTTAGTTCAAGCTTCTCAATGATTTAAGTAGAAGCAACCAACCAACAGACCAAAATACCTTGATTTTTTATATATGTATATATATATGACTGATTCTATGCAATGCAGAATCATAGCGCTATAAAACTATAAGCAAGGCCTTATGCTCCTCAGCCCGGTATATCTCGCCATCTCACCAAACCCTGCTGTCGGAAACAGCTATTCCAAGACGGATTGCATCTGAACAGGCAGGTTTTAACTGTCATGATGAATAAGAGCGGCTGACATTCGCAGGGCAGGGCCAAGACGTTTTGCTTGCCTACGGCAGAGGGCAAGGCGTCTCCCTCTTCCTGATTGCTGTCTGGACAAGCTATTAAGCATTTCTTCATTACTGGCAATGGAAGAGCATCCTCCTCCACCCCTCAAGGAAACGGGATCACTGTGGGAGCACCGAATGAGCTTTGTGATCCCCAGCAAATGCCATCCCTCTTACAGAATCATAGGATGCTAGAGCTGGAAGGGACCCCAAGAGGCCATCCAGCCCAGCCCCCTCCTGCCAGGCAACGAGACACCATCCAAGCACACACAAAACACAAGCTAAAAAATATTTCAGGCAGACTTTTAAAGAAGAACATTGTTAATATCACGCCAGGGGATGCTGTGTAGTGTTTCCTGTATTTTAAATTCATTATTATTATTCTGGTCGCTTCTGATTCCACAGCAAGCTGGTTTCAGGAAAGGCAAAAGCTGCACATCGCAAGTGCTGAACCTGACTCAGCACACAGAAGATGGTTTTGAAAGGCAGCAGATCACAGGAGCTGTCTTCATAGCAGCCTATGATACTGTGAACCACCGCCTCCTCCTGAGAAAAAATGTATAATATCACAAAGGACAACCACCGCACCCACCTCATAGGAAACCTGCTACAAAACAGGAGCTTCTTTGTTGAGTTCCAGGGCCAGAGAAGCAGATGGCGGAAACAGAAGAACGGCCTGCCTCAGGGGAGCGTGCTTGCTCCATCCATGTTCAACATCTACACAAATGACCAGCCACTGCCAGAAGGGATGGAGAGCTTCATCTATGCAGATGATCGTGCCATTACCGCTCAAGCAGGGAGCTTTGAGATGGTTGAACAGCAGCTCTCCGAAGCTCTAGGTGCTCTTACTGCCTATTACAGGGAAAACCAGCTGATCCCTAATCCATCTAAAACACAGACATGTGCCTTTCACCTTAAGAACAGACAAGCATCCCGAGCTCTGAGGATGACCTGGGAAGGAATCCCACTGGAGCATTGCAGCGCACCCAAATACCTGGGAGTCACTCTGGACCGTGCTTTTACCTACAAGAAGCACTGCCTGAACATCAAGCAAAAAGTAGGTGCTAGAAACAATATCATACGAAAGCTGACTGGCACAACCTGGGGATCACAACCAGACACAGTGAAGACATCTGCCCTTGTGCTATGCTACTCTGCTGCTGTGTGTACGCATGCCCAGTGTGGAACACATCACACCATGCTAAAACAGTGGATGTGGCTCTTAATGAGACATGCCACATTATCACGGGGTGTCTGCATCCTACACCACTGGAGAAATTACACTGTCTAGCCGGTATTGCACCACCTGACATCCGCCGGGAAGTAGCAGCCAATAGTGAAAGGACCAAGGCAGTGACATCTCCAGCTCATCCCTTGTTTGGTTATAAGCCAGCACGTCAACAACTTAAATCAAGAAATAGTTTTCTAAGATCTACAGAGACACTTGCTGGAACACCCCAGCAAGCGAGAGTCCAAAAGTGGCAGGCTCAAACCCAGAACCTCAACCAAACGAGAGACTCCCTCCTGGGCACACAGAAAACTGGGTGACTTGGAAGGTGCTGAACAGACTGCGCTCCGGCACCACGAGATGCAGAGCCAACCTTCAGAAATGGGGCTACAAAGTGGAATCCACGACATGCAAGTCCGGAGAAGAGCAAACCACTGACCACCTGCTGAAATGCAACCTGAGCCCTGCCACATGCACAATGGAGGACCTTCTTGCGGCAACACCAGAGGCACTCCAAGTGGCCAGATACTGGTCAAAGGACATCTAATCAACTACCAAGCTTGCAAACTTTGTATTTGTTTGTTGCTAGGCAACGAGACACCATCCAAGCACACACAAAACACAAGCCAAAAAATATCGTTAATATCATGTCAGGGGATGTTGTGTAGTGTTTTCTCTATTTTAAATGGGATTATTATTATTATTATTATTATTATTATTATTATTATTATTATTGAATGTATTGTCAAAGACTTTCACGGCTGGAATCACTGGGTTGTTGTAGGTTTTTTCAGGCTATATAGCCATGTTCTAGAAGCATTCTCTCCTGATGTTTCGCCTGCATCTATGCCAAGAATTCTGAGGATGCTGGCCATATATGCAGGCAAAACGTCAGGAGCGAATGCTTCTAGAACAGGGGTCCTCAAACTTTTTAAACAGAGGGCCAGGTCATAGTCCCCAAAATTGTTGGAGGGCCAGATTATAATTTGAAAAAAACGTGAATTAATTCCTATGCACACGGCACATATCTTATTTGTAGTGCAAAAAAAAAAACACTTTAAAACAATACACTAATTAAAATGAAGAACAATTTCAACAAATATAAACTTATTCGTATTTCAGTGGGATGTTTGGGTCTGCTTTTGGCTGATGAGAAAGGATTGTTGTTGTGTGTTTTCAAGTAGTTTCAGACTTAGGTTGACCCTGCGCGAAGGCTGGGTAAATGACCTTGGAGGGCCGCATTCGGCCCCCGGGCCTTAGTTTGAGGACCCCTGTTCTAGAACATGGCCATTTAACCCGAAAAACCTACAACAACCCATTATTATTATTATTATTATTATTATTATTATTATTATTATTATTATTATTATTGGCCACCTGGTGGCGCAGTAGGTTAAACTGCAAAGCTGCTGAACTTGCTGACCAAATGGTTGGCAGGGTGAGCTCCTGCTGTTACCCCAGCTTCTGCCAACCTAGCAATTTGAAAATATGTAAATGTGGGAAGATCAATAGGTACCACTCCGAAGGGGAAGGTAACGGCGCTCCATGCAGTCATGCCGGCCACGTGACCTTGGAGGTGTCTGCGGACAACGCCAGCTTTTCGGCTTAGAAATGGAGATGAGCACCAACCCCCAGAGTTGGACATAACTAGACTTAATGTCAAGGGCAATCTTTACCTTTACCATTATTATTATTATTATTATTATTATTATTATTATTATTATTATTAGATACATAACAAGATTAGTACACAACAAACAAGATCGCTATGCTGGCTTTTGTATTGGATCACATGTCAGACACTTCCCAAGTGTCTAGACTGTGTGATGTATGGGCAAAGAATGTGTGCAGATCTGAGTAGGGTTGCAACTGTCCAGTGCTTTGAGTCTGTTTAAGAGAGAAAAAGTGGTATAAATAATAATAATAATAATAATAATAATAATAATAATAATAATAATGCAACTGTCCACTACTTTGAGTCTGTTTAAGAGACAAAAAGTGGTATTAATAATAATAATAATAATAATGCAACTGTCCAGTGCTTTGAGTCTGTTTATTAGACAAAAAGTGGTATAAATAATAATAATAATAATAATAATAATGCAACTGTCCAGTGCTTTGAGTCTGTTTAAGAGAGAAAAAGTGGTATAAATAATAATAATAATAATAATAATGCAACTGTTCACTGCTTTGAGTCTGTTTATGAGACAAAAAGTGGTATAAATAATAATAATAATAATAATAATAATAATAATGCAACTGTCCAGTGCTTTGAGTCTGTTTAAGAGAGAAAAAGTGGTATAAATAATAATAATAATGCAACTGTCCAGTGCTTTGAGTCTGTTTATGAGACAAAAAGTGGTATAAATAATAATAATAATAATAATAATAATAATAATAATGCAACTGTCCAGTGCTTTGAGTCTGTTTAAGAGAGAAAAAGTGGTATAAATAATAATAATAATAATAATAATAATAATAATAATGCAACTGTTCACTGCTTTGAGTCTGTTTATGAGACAAAAAGTGGTATAAATAATAATAATAATAATAATAATAATAATGCAACTGTCCAGTGCTTTGAGTCTGTTTAAGAGAGAAAAAGTGGTATAAATAATAATAATAATAATAATAATAATAATGCAACTGTCCAGTGCTTTGAGTCTGTTTATGAGACAAAAAGTGGTATAAATAATAATAATAATAATAATAATAATAATAATAATAATAATGCTGCAACTGTTCACTGCTTTGAGTCTGTTTATTAGACAAAAAGTGGTATAAATAATAATAATAATAATAATAATAATGCAACTGTCCAGTGCTTTGAGTCTGTTTAAGAGAGAAAAAGTGGTATAAATAATAATAATAATAATAATAATAATAATAATAATAATAATGCAACTGTTCACTGCTTTGACTCCGTTTAAGAGAGAAAGGTAAAGTTTTCCCCTTGACATTAAGTCCGACTCTGGGGGTAGGTGCTCATCTCCATTTCTAAGCCAAAGAGCCAGTGTTGTCCGTAGACGCCTCCAAGGTTATGTGGCCAGCATCACTGCATGGAGTACCTTTACTTTCCCACAGAAGTGGTACCTATTGATCTTCTGCTAGGTCAGCAGAAGCTGGGGCCAACAGCAGGAGCTCACCCCACTCCCTGGATTTGAACCACCGACCTTTCGGTCAGCAAGTTCAGCAGCTCAGTGGTTTAACGCACTGTGCCAACAAGGGCCCTTAAGAGAGAAAAGCAGTAAATAAATTAATAACAACTGCAACAACAGCAACACATCTATTTCATAGAATCATAGAATCATAGAATCAAAGAGTTGGAAGAGACCTCATGGGCCATCCAGTCCAACCCCATTCTGCCAAGAAGCAGGAATATTGCATTCAAATCACCCCTTACAGATGGCCATCCAGCCTCTGTTTAAAAGCTTCCAAAGAAGGAGCCTCCACCACACTTCAGGGCAGAGAGTTCCACTGCTGAACGGCTCTCACAGTCAGGAAGTTCTTCCTCGTGTTCAGATGGAATCTCCTCTCTGTAGTTTGAAACCATTGTTCCATTGCGTCTCCAGGGAAGCAGAAAACAAGCTTGCTCCCTCCCTCCCTGTGGCTTCCTCTCACATATTTATACATGGCTATCATATCTCCTCTCAGCCTTCTCTTCTTCAGGCTAAACATGCCCAGCTCCTTAAGCCGCTCCTCATAGGGCTTGTTCTCCAGACCCTTGATCATTTGAGTTGCCCTCCTCTGGACACATTCCAGCTTGTCAATATCTCTCTTGAATTGTGGTGCCCAGAATTGGACACAATATTCCAGGTGTGGTCTAACCAAAGCGGAATAGAGGGGTAGCATTACTTCCCTAGATCTAGACACTATGCTCCTATTGATGCAGGCCAAAATCTCATTGGCTTTTTTTGCCGCCACATCACATTGTTGGCTCATGTTTAACTTGTTGTCCACGAGGACTCCAAGATCTTTTTCACACGTCCTGCTCTCGAGCCAGGCATTCCCCCATTCTGTATCTTTGCATTTCATTTTTTCTGCCAAAGTGGAGTATCTTGCATTTGTCACTGTTGAACTTCATTTTGTTAGTTTTGGCCCATCTCTCTAATCTGTCAAGATCGTTTTGAATCCTGCTCCTGTCCTCTGGACTATTGGCTCTCCCTCCCAGTTTGGTGTTGTCTGCAAACTTGATGATCCTGCCTTCTAGCCCTTCGTCTAAGTCATTAATATTTAGCATGCAAGCCTTATTTTCTCGGAAGCGATACACCTGACTCTGGGCTGCATCAGGTCCGGTGTGAACGGAAGAGTCAATTGTGCCTTTTGGAAGCCTTAAATGGTGACTACATCTTGCGGCTGCTAATTTCACCCATTAGCCATGTTCGTTCTTAAATGAGGACCTATTTTCCTGTTGTTGTTTTTTGGGGAGGAAGGGATGCCTGGGAGGGCAGTGGCACTTGGCCTGCTCAACCTGCATTTGGGACTAAACTGGTATAATTACAAAACCATCCTAAGCGCTCATTATTTGCCCGGCAGAAAGGAAGTGAGACCTCTCTTAATAGCTTCCGCTTTGCACTTTGCTGGACTGAATGCCAAGTTGTCCAAACAGCCAAAGATCACTGTATCCCAAATAATAATAATAATAATAATAATCATCATCATCATCATCATCACAGAATCATAGAATCAAAGAGTTGGAAGAGACCTCATGGGCCATCCAGTCCAACCCCATTCTGCCAAGAAGCAGGAATATTGCATTCAAATCACCCCTGACAGATGGCCATCCAGCCTCTGTTTAAAAGCTTCCAAAGAAGGAGCCTCCACCACACTCCGGGGCAGAGAGTTCCACTGCTGAATGGCTCTCACAGTCAGGAAGTTCTTCCTCATGTTCAGATGGAATCTCCTCTCTTGTAGTTTGAAGCCATTGTTCCGCGTCCTAGTCTTTATTTATACCCCGCCACCATCTCCCCAGTGGGGACTCGGAGCGGCTTACATGAGGCCAAGTCCGAACAACAAATTACAATAAAAATAAAACGAAAACACAACCAAAAACGCAAACAGTAAAAGCAACATCGTAATAAAATAAAACATGCAAATACATAACAATATAAAGTTACAATAGACGCAATCACAATGACAGTGGGCGGGCTGCATGTAATGATTAAAAGAGAAACTAATTAAAACTAATTTAAAACTCAGGCGAGATAAAAAGAGACAGATTATTTGCAGAGAAGAACTTATTATAGCGGGGGTTGTGGAATCAAGCTTTCCCACAGAGGGGGGACGACATATACTCCAATGGCAGAACATTGAGGCTAAGCAGTAGTGTGGGATTGTATACCTACTCACCAAAGGCGCAGCAGAAGAGCCAGGTTTTAAGGTCCTTTTTAAAGGTTTCTAGAGTAGGGGCTTTCCTAATTAGAAAATGTTGACCATTTCCGCTCCCTTGGCAGCCACCTCTCCACAAAAGTCAACATTGACACTGAAATACAACACCACCTGAGCTCTGTGAGTGCAGCATTTTTTCAATGAAGCAGAGCGTGGGGATCTGGACATCTGTAGGGATACCAAGGTGCTTGTTTATAAAGCCATTGTCCTCCCAACCCTGCTAATGCCTGCGAATGGAGGGCAAAAGGGAGAAATGTGGAATAATGTTCAGGAAAGAACATTGAGGCTAAGCAGCAGTGTGGGATTGTATACCTACTCTCCAAAGGCGCAGCGGAAGAGCCAGGTTTTGAGGTCCTTTTTAAAGGTTTCCTAATTTCTCCTAGTAGTGAGTTCCAACGTAGGGGGGCCACAGAGGAGAAAGCTCTGTGCTTGTGAAGCTGGCAGGGGTGAAAGAAGGGCCTCCCCAGATGAACGAAGGGCCCTGGATGGTACATGGAGGGAGATGCGATCATGAAAGTAGGCTGGTCCCAAAGCAGTTATTATACTCCCAACTCAAAAATGGAAAATGGAAGTTTGGTGAACAGGAAAATAGATTGAAAGATGGGCTTAAAGCTAACCTGTGGCATAGACACCGAGAACTGGGAAGCCCTTGAGTGCTCTTACTGGAGGTCAGCTGTGACCAGCAGTGCTGAGGCACCAGTGGAGGGTGAAAGGGAGAAATGTGCCAAGAGGAAAGATGGTGTTTCAAGCCAACCCTGACCAGGACTGCCTTCCACCTACAAACCGATGTCCTCATTATGGAAGAACATGTGATCTCGAATAGGTCACCTACGTATCCACCACCAAGTCACCTACGTATCCACCTACGCATCCTATAGTCACCTACGTATCCACCACCAAGACACTAGATTTGGAAGGCCATCATACTTGGAACAAAGGGGATCACCTAAGTAAGTAAGTAAGTAAGTAAGCAAGCTATCGTGATGCTCACCAGATGTCATTGCCCTTGATCTGCACACACTCCTGCTTGGTGTCTTCAGTGCCGGAGCAACAGGAAGAGCAACAGCAGTCCCAGCAACGGTCTTTTCCACAACAACTGTCGCAACATGCACAACAACGCTTGTTGCGGCAACAGCAGCAGCACCACGTCACTCCCCCTGCGATGAGGGCCGCGGCCAGGAGGCAGATTGTGACCGACCCTCCGATGACCCAATCGTAGTAGAAACCTGCTCAAAACAAAGGACCATTAGGTTGCAACAGATTTTCCATGCTGTCTGGCCATGTTCTAGAAGCATTCTCTCCTGACGTTTTGCCCAGGCATCCTCAGAGGTTGTGAGGTCTGTTGGAAACTAGGCAAGTGGGGTTGATATATCTGTGGAATAATGTCCAGGGTGGAAGAAAGAACTCTTGTCTGTTTGAGGCAAGTGTGAAGGTTGCCATTGGCCACCTTGATTAGCATTGAATGGCCTTGCAGCTTCAAAGCCTGGCTGCTTCCTGCCTGGGGGAATCCACAGATATTCCACAGGTATATACACTTCGCTTGCCTAGTTTCCAACAGACCTCACCTCTGAGGGAGAAAGAACTCTTGTCTGCTTGAGGCAGGTGTGAATGTTGCAATTGGACACCTTGATTAGCATTGAATGGCCTTGCAGCTTCAAAGCCTGGCTGCTTCCTGCCTAGAGGGATCCACAGATATTTCACAGGAATATAAACTTTGCTTGCCTCACCTCTGAGGGAGAAAGAACTCTTGTCTGCTTGAGGCAGGTGTGAATGTTGCAATTGACCATCTCGATTAGCACTGAATGGCCTTGCAGCTTCAAAGCCTGGCTGCTTCCTGCCTGGGGGGGATCCACAGATATTCCACAGGTATATACACTTCGTTTGCCTAGTTTCCAACAGACCTCACCTCTGAGGGAGAAAGAACTCTTGTCTGCTTGAGGCAGGTGTGAATGTTGCAACTGGACACCTTGAGGTGGCCTTAAGGACCATGAGTTTCCTATCGCTGGGAAGGAGATGTAACTAGATGGGCCCTGTCTAGGCTTCCATGTAATGCATTATGTGGTAAGATAGACATATAGAATCCTAGAGTTGGAAGAGACCCCATGGGCCCCTGCCATATGGGAAAAGCCCAATCAAAGCACTCCAGACAGATGGCCACCCAGCCAGTTTGCATGGGCAAACTTCTGCCCTCTCTCCAAGTGTTTTGGACTTCAACTCCCTCATTTCCTAACAAGGCTGGATCTAGATTGTCATATAATGCTCTATATGGTCAGTGCAAGCCCATATAATGCAGTTTCAAATGACATTATATGGCAGTGTAGATGAGCCCTATGTGATATTCTTCTGGGTGTAATGATCTAAAAGTTATAGCAAAGTCAATCCTTGTCATATCACACTGATAATAGAAGTTACTGTATATACTCGAGTATAAGCCTAGTTTTTCAGACTTTTTTTTAGGCTGAAAAAGTCCCCCTCGGCTTATACTCGAGTCAAGGTTTATTATTTTACTCTGTTATAAATACAGAGCATTTATAATATATACTCTGAGTATTTATAATATATATATAATATATACACACACACATATAGTAAAGGTAAAGATTTCCCCTTGATGCATTATTATTATTATTATTATTATTATTATTATTATTACATTTATTATTTTACTTTATTATTGTTATTATTGCATTTATTATTTTATTTATTTATTTATTTATTTATTTATTTATTTATTTATTTATTTACAGTATTTATATTCCGCCCTTCTCACCCCGCAGGGGACTCAGGGCGGATTACAGTGTACACATATATGGCAAACATTCAATGCCAATTTTAACATACAACATATACAGACATACACAGAGGCTATTTAACTTTTTCTGGCCGCCAGGGGAGCTGTCGCTTTCATCGTCCATCTGCGACGCTGATGAAGCACTTCCGCATTCCCGCATGCTTCCCTGCTGGAATGCTTTGCTGGAGTCTTCTTTATGGCCTCATAAATCAGTTAATTTAGCCTCCCCACACTTTAAGGTGGTACCTTATTTTCCTACTTGACAGATGCAACTGTCTTTCGGGTTGCAAAGGTCGACAACAGGCTACACACCAATTGGTTGGAAACCCACTCCAACCCGGGCTGGCTTCGAACTCATGACCTTTTGGTCAGAGTGATCTTAATGCAGATGACACTCAGCCAGCTGCGCCACAATCCCGGTTTACTCTATTTATTATTGTTGTTGTTAATATTTAATTTCTATTATATTGCTCTATTATTATTATTATTACCTTTATTATTTTAATCTATTGATTTTTACTGGAAGGATACACAGGCACATTTCTATTGAAGAAGGTTAGAATGATTTAATCAGAGTTGGGCAGTCATATCTTAAATATTCAAAAACATTTAACCTCTTGATGCCTCAATTAATGGAATTTTATTTGTATCTATTTTTATTTTGAAATTGACCCATAGTGGATGCATTTCCCACCCTTGGCTTATACTCGAGTCAATCCGTTTTCCCAGTTTTTTGTGGTAAAATTAGGTGTCTTGGCTTATATTCGGGTCGGCTTATAAACGATATTTCTAATTTGATTATTTGGTGAAAAATCAATGGTTTGCAAGTAACTTAATAGTTCTAAGGAGGTTTTTCCTGATTCCTGTGACAAATCCGGCAAGCGCCTTACCTCCATCAAACCCGATATCGACTGAGCAATAAGCGACGCCCACGTTGTTGCCCACTTTGCACTGATAGGTCCCCACATGATCTTCGCACAAGCCATAGATGTGGTAGTCACCCGGCATGGAGCCTGTTTCCAGCAAAAGAAAAAGAAAGTCCCGATTTCAGGTTAGATTTTCCAGACTGAGTCTCTGCACAGAGCTTTCCATTTTTTAAAAAAGCATGCCCAAATTTATTTGTGTGTGTGTGTGTGTATACACACACACATATAGTAAAGGTAAAGGTCTCCCCTTGACATTAAGTCCAGTCGTGTTTGACTCTGGGGTTTGGTGTGCAACTCCATTTCTAAGCCAAAGAGCCAGTGTTGTCCGTAGACACCTCCAAGGTCGTGTGGTCGGCATGAATGTATGGAGTGTTGTTACCTTCCCTCAGAAGCAGTACCTATTGACCAACCCACATTTGCATGTTTTCGAACTGCTAGGTTGGTAGAAGCTGTTGTTAACAGCAGGAGCTCACCCCGCTCCCCGGATTTGAACCACCAACCTTTTGGTCAGCAAGTTTAGCAGCTCAGTGGTTTAACCCGCTGCACCACTGGGGGGGATATATATGTATATAAATATGTGTATGTGTATAACACGCGCGTGCGCACACGCACACACTATTTACATATTTACATGTGTGTGCACATATGTATGTTTATATGAGTAACTTAATAGTAAAGCGTTGCAAACCATCCAAATAACATATAAAGTATTTATGCACAAATAAAACAGAGAAAGGAAGCAATATAGTATTCACAAGGAAGGAAGGAAGGGAGGGAGGGAGGAAGGGAGGAAGGAGAGGAGGAGGGAGGGAGGGGGGGAGGGGGAGGGAAGGGAGGGAGGAGGAAGGAAGGAAGGAAGGAAGGAAGGAAGAAAGGAAGGAAGAAAGGAAGGAAAGAAGGAAGGAAGGAAGGAGAATGAATGAATGAAGGAAGGAAGGAAGGAAGGAAGGAAGGAAGGAAGGAAGGAGGGAAGGAAGGGAGGAAGGAAGGAGGGAAGGAGGGAGAAGGAAGGAAGGAGGAGAGGAAGGAGGAAAGGGAAGGAAGGAGAAGGAAGGAAAGAAAGAAAGAAAGAAAGAAGAAAGGAATGAAGAAGAAAGGAAGGATGGAAGGAAGGAAGAAGGAAGGAAGGAAGGAAGGAAGGAAGGAAGAAGGAAGGAGGAAGGAAGGAAGGAAGGAAGGAAGGAAGGAAGGAAGGAAGAAAAGGAGGAAGGAAGGAAGGAAGAGGAAGGAAGGAAGGAAGGAAGGAAGGAGAAGGAAGGGAGGAAGAAAGGAAGGAGAAGGAAGGAAGGAGGAAGGAAAGGAAGGAGGAGGAAGGAGAAGGAAGAAGAAGGAAAGAAAGGAAGAAGGAGGAAGAGAAGGAAGAAGGAAGGAAGGAGAAGGAAGGGAGGAAGGAAGGAGAAGGAAGGAGGGAGGAGGGAGGAGGGAGGAGGGGAGGGGAAGGGAGGGAGGGAGGGGGGGGAAGGGAGGAAGGGAGGAAGGAGGAAGGAGGAAGGAAGGAAGGAGAATGAAATGAATGAAGGAAGGAAGGAAGGAAGAAGGAAGGAAGGAAGGAAGAAGGAGAAGGAAGGGAGGAAGGGAGAAGGAGAAGGAAGGAAGGAAGAAGGGAAGGAAGGAAGGAAGGAAGGAGGAAAGAAAGGAAGGAAAGAGAAGGAAGGAAGAAGGAAGAGAAGAGAAGGAAGGAGGAAGGAAGGAAGGAAGGAGGAAGGAAGGAAGGAAGGAAGGAAGAAGGAAGAAAGGAAGGAAAGAAGGAAGAAGAGAAGAAGGAAGGAAAGGAAGGAAGGAAGGAAGGAAGGAAGGAAGGAGGAGGAAGGAAGGAAGGAAAGAAGGAGAAGGAAGGGGAAGAAGGAAGAGAAGGAAGGGAAGAAAAGGGAAAGGGGAAAAGAAGGAGAGGAAGGAAGGAAGGAAGGAAGGAAGGAAGAAAGGAAGAGAAGGAAGGAAGGAAGGAAGGAAGGAAGGAAGGAGGAAGGAAGGAAGGAAGGAAGGAAGGAAGGAAGGAAGGAAGGAAGGAAGGAAGGAAGGAAGGAAGGAAAGAAGGAAGGAGGGAGGGAATGAAGGAATGAAGGAATGAAGGAAGGAAGGAAGGAAGGAAGGAAGGAAGGAAGGAAGGAAGGAAGGAAGGAAGGAAGGAAGGGAGGCTCTTAAATCACAATCTAATCTCCATTCAGCATTCAGAGCCCCATCTACACTGACCACTGAATGCAGTTTCAAACCAGTATTGAAGAAAGTGGTTTGGCTGTGGAGGGGATTACATAGGAAATCCTGGAACCAGTTGGAGACTTGAATGTTGATGAGACAAACCACAGAGCACTGATGATACACATGAAGGGCTTTCTTTTGGTGCTCTTCCATGATAGTTTGTTGTCCGACTGCAGCTTTGAATTTTGTGTAGTGGTCAGTGTGGATGGGGTCCAGCACCCAAAAGGCCCCATTTAGACCACCCAGGGGCCACCATCCTGCTGCAACTCACCCATAGATCCCCCTGGAAGCCTGTCTATGAAAGGCTGTCCGCCCAACATCGACCAATGATAGCTGAGGGGCTGGGAGCCCACCGAAGCAGAGCAGCGTAGGATGATGTCCTGCCCGTAGGCAACGTCGCCAATGATCCAGCACTGAGGGGCCGCCGGCCTTTCTAGGAGGCAAACAGAGAGAGGGCATCAGCATCATAAGTAATTATTATTATCCAATGGCATCTGAACCCCCTTCTATACTACCATACAATCCAGATTATCAAAACAGATTATCTGTTTTGAACTGGATTATATGAGTCTACACTGCCATATAATCCAGTTCAAAACAGATAATCTGGATTTTATATGGCAGTATAGAAGAGGATTCAGATACCATTGGGGTAATAGAGAGGCATTGAACTCACTAGCAAAACTCATCCAAAAGGCTGGGTAATGGGAATGAGATACCTCTACCAGTCTTCTTCTGCTCTTGTATAGAAAACTATGATATCTAAAGATATTAGAACGAATTTAGTTTTCTGAATGAGTGTCCCAAATAATCCCAGGAACAGGCCTTAAACTTAAGACACCAAAAATATATGTGGTTGGGTTGTGTTATAGGTCCTAGAACAGTGTTTCTCTACCTGGGGGTCAGGTCCCCAAACATGAGGAGGTTTCACAGGGGTCACCAAAGACCATCAGTTGTTGGGTTCACAGTGCTCTCTGGATATAGGTGAACTACATCTCCCCTAAATCATTGTCAATTCCTCCAAAATCCCTCCAGTATTTTCTGTTGGTCATGGGGTAAGTTTGGCCCAATCCTATCGTTGATGGGGTTCAGAATGCTCTTTGATTGTAGGTGAACTATAAATCCCAGAAACTACAACTCCCAAATGTCGAGGTTTATTTTCCCCAAACTCTAGCAGTGTTCACATTTGGGCGTACTGAGTATTCATGCCAAGTTTGGTCCAGATTCATCATTGTTTGAGTCCACAGTGCTTCTGGATGTAGGTGAACTACAACTCTCAAACTCAAGGTCAATGCCTACCAAACCCTTCCAGTATTTTCTGTTGGCAATGGGAGTTCTGTGTGCCAAGTTTGGTTCAATTCCATTGAATACTGGTGGGGTTGGGAGTTGATTGGTTTTGTCATTTGGGAGTTGTGAACTATAAATCCCAGCAACTACAACTCCCAAATGACAAAATCAATCAACTCCCAACCCCACCAGTATTCAAATTTGGGCGTATGGGGTATTTGTGCCAAATTTGGTTCAGTGAATGAAAATACATCCTGCATATCAGATATTTATATGACAATTCATAACAGTATCAAAATTACAGTTATGAAGTAGCAACAGAAATAATGTTACGCTTGGGGGTCACCACAACAGGAGGAACTGCATTAAGGGGTTGCAGGATTGGGAAGGCTGAGAAATACTGTCCCAGAATTCTTCTGTATTCCCCCATCCTGTATGACCAATAGTCAAGGCAAGCTTTCCAAGCTCTAGATAAAGGCATGATGTTAATCCCTCCTTCACCGTAAAAGGGATTTCAACCTTGATCCTGAGGAGAAAAGAGACCCACCTTGCACCGTGATAGTGACTTTGTGGCTGGCTTCCGTGGTTTTCTTGACTTTGCACTCGTACGTGGCAGAGTCCGTGATCTGCACATTCTGCAGTTGCATGGAGGCATCATACAGGCTGGGGTCCGGGGAAGCGAATCCCACCCGCTGCTGGAGTTCAGGAGGCCCAGGATAGGTAATTCGGTGATCATGGTAACCAAGGAGCTTTTGGGGATTCAAAGTATAATGAACAGAATGAAAAACGAGTTGGAGAGAGGAGAAAACGAGTTGGATACAGACACAGAATGGGGGACACCTGGCTTGAGAGCAGTACATGTGAAAAAGATCTTGGAGTCCTCGTGGGAAGTCATGCTCCTCATTCTCTATTCTGCTTGGTTAGATCACACCTGGAATATTGTGTCCAATTCTGGGCACCACAATTCAAGAGAGATATTGACAAGCTGGAATGTGTCCAGAGGAGGGCGACTAAAATGATCAAGGGTCTGGAGAACAAGCCCTATGAGGAGCGGCTTAAGGAGCTGGGCATGTTTAGCCTGAAGAAGAGAAGGCTGAGAGGAGATATAGCCATATATAAATATGTGAGAGGAAGTCACAGGGAGGAGGGAGCAAGCTTGTTTTCTGCTTCCTTGGAGACTAGGATGTGAAACAATGGCTTCAAACTACAAGAGAGGAGATTCCATCTGAACATGAGGAAGAACTTCCTGACTGTGAGAGCCATTCAGCAGTGGAACTCTCTGTCCCGGAGTGTGGTGGAGGCTCCTTCTTTGGAAGCTTTTAAACAGAGGCTGGATGGCCATCTGTCAGGGGTGCTTTGAATGCAATATTCCTGCTTCTTGGCAGAATGGGGTTGGACTGAATGGCCCATGAGGTCTCTTTCAACTCTTTGATTCTATGATTCTACGTGTGAAAAAGATCTGGGAGTCCTCGTAGACAACAAGTTCAACATGAGCCCACAATGTCATGCGGCAGCTCAAAAGTCAATGGGATTTTGGCCTGCATAAACAGGAGTCTAGTATCTGAGAGAAGTCATGCTACCCATGCTCTATTCTATTTTGGTCAGACCACACCTGACCAATTCTGGGCACTACAATTGAAGGGAGATGTTGACTCCAATAATAATAATAATAATAATAATAATAATAATAATAATAATAATAACAACTACTACTACTGTTTCTGTTGAAACGAATTGCTTTTAAAACAGGACGTGCAACTTTAGCCCAGCGGGAAGCCAGGGGGCCCGAAGAGAAATTCGTAAGGATTTTCACCATAAACAGTCTCTAGAGGGCTTGTGAAATATAACAAAGTCTTTTATTGGTGAACAATCAACAGAAACTTTTTTTGTCTTCAAAAGGTTAAACAAATGCTTCCAGGCTTTTGTGCAACTGGTAGCTTCTAACTGTTACTTTTACTCTAAAGGAAAATCCCTTTCCAAACTTCTCCCAGGCTAACTGTGATCCTAAACCTAACTGATGTGGGCTCCACTACCGGGTTGAATTGCGTCTCAAAGCACCGAGTGGACCTACCAGTAGGCCTGTAGTCACTTCAGCTGGAGTTCTTAGATGTCCAAAGCTGTTTTTCCCTCCGAAGTTCCTCTGAGCTTTAGGGCTTTTTCCTTGGGAATCTTTGGGAATCCTTTTGCTCTTAAGACTGTTCTCCCCCGGGAAGTCTTAAGGGTTGAAGCCTTTGTACAGGAGAAGTCTGTATACATCCTGTACATTGACTTTCCTTGTTGAGAATGACTGAAAATGGCTCCCTTCCCTTCTCAATTGTCCTGAACAGGGGGCGGAACCAAACTTAACGATGATGGACAGGGGCCCTGCCCTATAACTGCAAAGTTTAACAGGAAGCCACCCTTAGAATCATAGAATCATAGAATCAAAGAGTTGGAAGAGACCTCATGGGCCATCCAGTCCAACCCCATGCCAAGAAGCAGGAATATTGCATTCAAATCACCCCTGACAGATGGCCATCCAGCCTATGCTTAAAAGCTTCCAAAGAAGGAGCCTCCACCACACTCCGGGGCAGAGAGTTCCACTGCTGAACGGCTCTCACAGTCAGGAAGTTCTTCCTCATGTTCAGATGGAATCTCCTCTCTTGTAGTTTGAAGCCATTGTTCCGCGTCCTAGTCTCCAAGGAAGCAGAAAAAAAGCTTGCTCCCTCCTCCCTGTGGCTTCCTCTCACATATTTATACATGGCTATCATATCTCCTCTCAGCCTTCTCTTCTTCAGGCTAAACATGCCCAGTTCCCTAAGCCGCTCCTCATAGGGCTTGTTCTCCAGACCCTTGATCATTTTAGTCGCCCTCCTCTGGACACATTCCAGCTTGTCAATATCTCTCTTGAATTGTGTTGCCCAGAATTGGACACAATATTCCAGGTGTGGTCTAACCAAAGCAGAATAGAGGGGTAGCATTACTTCCTTAGATCTAGACACTATGCTCCTATTGATGCAGGCCAAAATCCCATTGGCTTTTTTTGCCGCCACATCACATTGTTGGCTCATGTTTAACTTGTTGTCCACGAGGACCCAAGATCTTTTTCACACGTACTGCTCTCGAGCCAGGCCACTGTCCCCCATTCTGTATCTTTGCATTTCATTTTTCCTGCCAAAGTGGAGTATCTTGCATTTGTCACTGTTGAACTTCAATTTGTTAGTTTTGGCCCATCTCTCTAATCTGTCAAGATCGTTTTGAATTCTGCTCCTGTCCTCTGGACTATTGGCTATCCCTCCCAATTTGGTGTCGTCTGCAAACTTGATGCAGAATCCCAAGCCTTGGGCTGCAAGCAGACACTTAATACAAAGCAAATAAAGTTGGAGCTTCTGGTACAGCTGTACCAGCACAACTAGTTTATATATACCCTTCTCCATCTCCCCCAGGGGGACGGCTTACATAAGGCCATGCCCATCAATACAATAAATACAATATTACACAAAAATATAAAATTGCAAAAACCAATATAATAGACAACACAGCAATATAAAATCAAAACATCAAAACATAAGGAATTTCACTGGGCAGGGCCAATTCAAGAATAAACATGTAAAATTATTAAAAACACTGGGAGACAGGCAATGTAAAATTGTCGTGAAGGGGAAACTGGGGATGAGGAAGGCTTTAATTGAACGAACCGTAAAATAAAGTGCTTCTGAGGTCATTTTGGACAGGGAGTGTTCTACATTCAATCATTGAAGGCACATTGGAATAACCAGGTTTTCAGGTTTCTCCTGAAGATTGCCAGCGTGGGGGCTTGTCTAATATCTCTGGGGAGTGGGTTCCAGAGCCAAGGGGCCACTACAGAGAAGGCCCTCTCTCTCATCCCCACAAGTCACACTTGCGATGTGGGTGGGAGTGAGAAAAGGGCCTCTCCGGAAGATCGAAGAAGTCGCATGGGTCCGTAAATGGAGATGTGGTCGCTGGAATGTGTCAAGAGGAGGGCGATTCAAAGGATCAAGGATCTGGAGAACAAGCCCTATGAGGAGTGGCTGAAAGAGCTGGGCATGTTTAGCCTGCAGAAGAGAAGGCTGAGGGGAGACACGATGAGGGCCTTGGAGTCATAGAGAGGAGAGAGCAGGCTTGTTTTCTGCTGTCCTGGAGACTAGGATGCAAACAATAGTTTCAAACTACAGGAAAGGAGATTCCACCTGAACATTAGGAAGAACTTCCTGACTGTGTGAGAGAGCTGTTCAGTGGTGGTACTCTCTGCCCTAGTGTGTGGTGGAGGCTTCTTCTTTGGAGGCTTTGAAACAGAGACTGGATGAGCATCTGTCGGGGGTGCTTTGAATGCCATTTTCCTGCATTGGTTGGACTGGATGGTCCACCAGGTCTCTTCCAAATCTATGATCTGATGATTCTGAGATGTATGTTGAAACAGGCTGCATTACTGGCAAAGCCGCAGCTAGACTATCTGGGTTTAGTACTTGCCGTCCAAATACTATATGGTTATCTAAATAATCCCAAACTCACCTGCTTGTCCTGAGGATAGGGACCAGGCTTCACCTGCTTCCATTCAATGTCCCAGTCATTTTCGGGAGTGTTGTCTTCTGGGTCCGACGCAAAGGGGCATCCCAGCCTGATGGACTCCCCTTTGGGCAGGTAGATGACCTTCTGCTCGCCTTCGTTGATCCTGACAGCACCAGCTCCTACTGAAAAGCAACACAACATACACAACACTGTGTTCATCATCCCAACATATTGGTTGTCTAAAAGTACTGTTGCATCACTTCATGTGGTTGCCACCATGCTCATATCATCAACATATGTTCGTGTTGTCAATGTATGCTCATATGAACATGCTCACTTAAAGAGCTGGGCATGTTTAGCCTGCAAAAGAGAAGGCTGAGAGGAGACATGATGAGGGCCAGGTATCAATACATGAGGGCAAGACATAGGGAGGAGGGAGCAAGCTTGTTTTCTGCTGCCCTGGAGACTGGGATCTGAAACAATGGTTTCAAACTAGAGGAAAGAAAGGAGATTCCACCTGAACATGAGGAAGACCGTTCAGCAGTGGAACTTCTGGAGTGAGAGAATCAGCTGTCCATGAAGACGTTGCCCAGGGGAGGCCCGGATGTCTTGCAATCCTGCGAGGAGGCTTCTCTCATGTCCCCATGCCAGAAGGCACAGAGAGTTTCATCTATGCTGATGATCGTGCCATTACCGCTCAAGCAGGGAGCTTTGAGATGGTTGAAGAGAAGCTCTCCGAAGCTCTAGGTGCTCTTACTGCCTATTATAGGGAAAACCAGCTGATCCCTAATCCATCTAAAACACAGACATGTGCCTTTCACCTTAAGAATAGACAAGCATCCCGAGCTCTGAGGATGACCTGGGAAGGAATCCCACTGGAGCATTGCAGCGCACCCAATACCTGGGAGTCACTTTGGACCGTGCCCTGACCTACAAGAGGCACTGCCTGAATATCAAGCAAAAAGTGGCCGCTAGAAACAATATCATACGAAAGCTGACTGGCACAACCTGGGGATCACAACCAGACACAGTGAAGGCATCTGCCCTTGCGCTATGCTACTCTGCTGCTGAGTATGCATGCCCAGTGTGGAACACATCTCACCACACTAAAACAGTGGATGTGGCTCTTAATGAGACATGCTGTCTGCGCCCTACACCACTGGAGAAATTACACTGTCTAGCCGGTATTGCACCACCTGACATCCGCCGGGAAGTAGCAGCCAATAGTGAAAGGACCAAGGCAGTGACATCTCCAGCTCATCCCCTGTTTGGGTATCAGCCAGCACGTCAACAACTTAAATCAAGAAATACTTTTCTAGAGATTGGCCTGTAGTTGTTCAAAACAGTAGGGTCAAGCCAGGACGGAAATTTCCCCCGAACCAATGAAGCAGTAATAATGAACACAAACCAATCTAATAACCCACCTCTGGCAGTTTAACTACCCAGGAAGTGAAAGGGTCCAGAGCACGAGTGGTCTTTCTCACAGCCCTAAAGATCCTGTCCACGTCATCAGGTATTTATTTATTTATCATGTCAGGAGCAAACCAAACAGTTGCATTGCATTTTTTAACAAACAAACAAAACACAAAGTTTGCAAGCTTGGTAGTTAATTAAATATCCTTTGACCAGTAGCTGGCCACTTGGAGTGCCTCTGGTGTTGCTGCAAGGAGGTCCTCCATTGTGCATGTGGCAGGGCTCAGGTTGCATTGCAGCAGGTGGTCAGTGGTTTGCTCTTCTCCACACTCGCATGTCGTGGATTCCACTTTGTAGCCCCATTTCTTAAGGTTGGCTCTGCATCTCATGCCAGAGCACAGTCTGTTCAGCACCTTCCAAGTCGCCCAGTATTCTGTGTGCCCAGGGGGGTGTCCCTCGTTTGGTATCAGCCATCGGTAGAAGTTCTGGGTTTGAGCCTGCCACTTTTGGACTCTCTCTTGCTGAGGTGTTCCAGCGAGTGTCTCTGTAGATCTTAGAAAACGATTTCTTGATTTAAGTCGATGACGTGCTGGCTGATATCCAAACAAGGGATGAGCTGGAGATGTCACTGCCTTGGTCCTTTCACTTCCCGGCGGATGTCAGGTGGTGCAATACCGGCTAAACAGTGTAATTTCTCCAGTGGTGTAGGACGCAGACACCCCGTGATAATGCGGCATGTCTCATTAAGAGCCACATCCACTGTTTTAGCGTGGTGAGATGCGTTCCACACTGGGCATGCGTACTCAGCAGCAGAGTAGCATAGCACAAGGGCAGATGTCTTCACTGTGTCTGGTTGTGATCCCCAGGTTGTACCAGTCAGCTTTCGTATGATATTATTTCTAGCGCCCACGTTTTGCTTGATATTCAGGCAGTGCTTCTTCTAGGTCAGAGCACGGTCCAGAGTGACTCCCAGGTATTTGGGTGCGCTGCAATGCTCCAGTGGGATTCCCTCCCAGGTAATCCTCAGAGCTCGGGATGCTTGTCTGTTCTTAAGGTGAAAGGCACATGTCTGTGTTTTAGATGGATTAGGGATCAGCTGGTTTTCCCTGTAATAGGCAGTAAGAGCACCTAGAGCTTCGGAGAGCTTCTGTTCAACCATTTCAAAGCTCCCTGCTTGAGCGGTAATGGCACGATCATCAGCATAGATGAAGCTCTCTGTCCCTTCTGGCAGTGGCTGGTCATTTGTGTAGATGTTGAACATGGATGGAGCAAGCACGCTCCCCTGAGGCAGGCCGTTCTTCTGTTTCCGCCATCTGCTTCTCTGGCCCTGGAACTCAACAAAGAAGCTCCTGTTTTGTAGCAGGTTTCCTATGAGGCGGGTGAGGTGGTCGTCCTTTGTGATATTATACATTTTTCTCAGGAGGAGGCGGTGGTTCACAGTATCATAGGCTGCTGACAGGTCTATGAAGACAGCTCCTGTGATCTGCTGCCTTTCAAAGCCATCTTCTATGTGCTGAGTCAGGTTCAGCACTTGCAATGTGCAGCTTTTGCCTTTCCTGAAGCCAGCTTGCTGTGGGATCAGACAGGGGTCTATTTTTTCCATAATTCGATCAGAGCACGGTCCAGAGTGACTCCCAGGTATTTGGGTGTGCTGCAATGCTCCAGTGGGATTCCTTCCCAGGTCATCCTCAGAGCTCGGGATGCTTGGTCATCAGGTTGAACAAGTTGAAATGCATCCCACAAGATCAGAGGGGCCTCAGTTATCTCCCCTGGCATTGCATTTAAGTTGGTGTCCAATGTTTTGCAAGATTCTCCATATAATTTCCTTTCCTTCCCGTTTTCAAACCCACCCCATCCAGCAGACATTGGGCGTTTTTTTGTGGCTTACGTAGCTTATTTATATCACTTATTTGAAATATTTCTGTGTCACATTCCAGCCCTCAATGTTCATTTATTTACACCCTGCATTTTCTCTCCACAAAGGAGACTCAATGCAGCTGCTAATGGTTTTAATGATTTTATTGGTTTTCATTCTGTCTTTTTAATCCCTCCCATATTTAATTGTGCTTTAATGTTTAGCTACTTCAGATTTTAATTGGGAGCCACAATGGCGCAATGAGTTAATCCCTTGCTGACCTGAATGTCAGCGGTTCGAAACTGCAAGATGGGATGAGCTCCCATCTGTTAGCTGCAGCTTCCCATGCAGGGACATGAAAGAAGCCTTCCCAGGATGGCCCATCCCCCGGGCAACGTCTCTGCTGAAGGCCAATTCTCTCACATCAGAAGCAACTTGCAGTTATCTCAAGTCACTTCTGACAGAATAAAAAAAGTTGCACAATTTTAATTAGCTGCTTTGAGTCTCCTTGAGTGGGAGAAAGCAAGACACAAATACGATAAATAAATAAGTAAAATTTTTTTATGTGCAATGACACAAACGGTTTTCCAAAATTCTATCCATATTTTAATATATTTGCTTCATGTTTTTACATGTCATGTTAGTGGCCTTGAGTGAGGAGAAAGGGAGAAAGGCCGGATAAAAAATAAGTAAACAAATAGTAAACGCAGTCTAAAAACAGAATTATAATCCGTTGAAACACCAGTTGTAAACTGAATAAGACCAATCCAATTTCCTTGAATAGCGACTTCCAGAGTCAAGGCACTTCTACAAAGACCACATCTACATTGCCATTATAAAACACAGTTTGAAACTGCATTACATGATCAATAGAGACCAGTTATTCCCAACCTTTTTTTGACCAGGGACCAGTCTCCTGTTGGAGCATGTAAGAAATCAGTGTGTGTGTCAACTGTAAGATGCACGACACTGATTAGTTAGGCTATGCCTGGGGAGCTGACTGAGCCTGGGACTTTTGGTTACTGTTACATTTTACTCAGGCATGAGCTATGCAAGTGCTGAGAGAGAAGCAAAGAGAGACAGTTTGGAGTGCGCTCTTGTTTTATAAGCTGCTGGAGGAAGATTTTTCACATGGACAAAGAAAGATCATTTTAAATCTCTCTAAAAGTCAATGCAACTGATCACATAATTATAAATATATTGTTCTGAATTACAAAGAATAAACTACTTGTTCTTTATTGAGCATATTTTCTTTCTCTGGCAAGACAGTGTGGACTGATCAAACTAGAACTACACGTGGTTTATTTTACATTACGCCACATCTCCAACATTAGCACCGTGCTGTCGCGCGCTGGGCCTGTGATAGTGTCTGTTTACAGGACACGCTTTCTGTATGCCCAACGGGATGCCGGGGTGCCTCAGCTAAAGGGTCCCTTAGGTTTCCCAACACAAAATTCTGTAGAGGCTCAAAGTAAATTCAACAAAGTTCTTTATTAGGGCTTAAATCTTCAAACAAACGAATTAAATGCTTTATAATCTTGAAAAACTAGTAGCTTTCTCGAACTGCCAACAAGGGACAGGCAACTGCTTGATAAACCGTTCCTTTCTTTCTTGGGGAAACCTTCTGACCCCTCCTTGGGCAATCTTCCTTTTCCTTACTGGCGTGAGGTCCCTACTCCTGGTTCTAATCTGCTTTATGGATAGCCCGAGTGTCCCTTACCAGATAAGGTTTTTTGTAGATCTGCCAAGCTGGTGTCGTTTAGATTTTCCACGAAGGTTGTGGAACCATTCCTTTTGCCTAGCAAAGCGGGCTGTATTTCTCAACAAAGCTGGCTGTATTTCTTTTTTTTTTCCCCAGCAAAGCTGTGAGAAATGAAGCCTTTTTGTCTGTTAGGCTCCAAGCTGTGAGACTGAACTAAAAGTCCCCCTTTCCCTCCAAACCTGGGGAAAGGGGCGGATCTAAAAGCTCTAATGATGATTGATAGGTTTTTGGCCCTATGATTGCAACCTGGGGAAGCCACCTGATTGCAAAAAGCATAGCTCGAATAGATTCATGCAAACTAACAGTGAAAGAAAAAGAATTAAATCCCCTGGCACAGCCGTGCCAGCACAGCACCAAAAGGGTTACAAACCACTTTAGATTCGGTCTGGTTATTTGGGGTGCCGATTCAGAAAATTGCATTGGATAGACCACACCAGCTCTAGTTTCTGATACACAACATATGCCAACCAGTAGGCACCCTCTGCTCACCCACAGAAAACCATATTTAATAATCTAGAGCTGATGTGATAATGGTACTCTTTCGTAGGATGTCAGGAGCCTCTCCCCTCCCGACATCCCCATTGCCTTGGCACTATAAGAGGGTTTTGCAAGGCTGTTGTTGCGTAGTTTCAAGGCAATGTTGTAGTAATGGTGAGGCCACAGACCATATTTTCATTCTTGTGGTCCACAGACCACAGGTTGGGAAATGATATAGACTTATATAATGTGGCTGAAAGGTTTTCATGTTGTGTCCCCATACATTTCATCGTGACAGTTTATATTAGTGTCTGAATCTCTAATAAGGGGTTGGTTTAACCTCCAGTTAATGAGTGAAACTGAATGACGGTGTTGCGAAATGATGCATAAAAAGTGCTTGGTAATGTCGTTTTTATGTCACTATGTAAAATACCACCTTTGAAGTTTGATAACATTTTGAATCCCACACCCTTACATCTTTTCTCCCCATCTCGTACACACACAGACACATTGCTTGTTGTGGTTTGTCCTAACCTGTTCTGAAAACTGAGATCACCGTCTCAGATTAAGGTAATAAAAGGCCACGATAATAATTAGGAACCACTCTGTAGTAACCTGTTCAACAGCTCGATCCGACAATTAAAATAATGGGAGAGCATCTCTTCCAACAGTCCCTGCTTACGAGGAATTATCTCAGATTTCTGGCTGTCTGACACCATTGCTTCTGTTGACGTTCCGATACCATCATTCCCAGTCTGCATGGCGGATCATCAGAAGGTATGGGAGTTTAGTAACATCTGGGAACCCAAACTGGTAACAACTAAAGAGCATGGAGTACTATATATATATCTAGAGCAGAGCTTGCCAGACATGTCATGTTGATTATACATTTTAGACAATGCATCCTTTCACAACACAGTCATTCAGTTCTATTCACAAACCAGAGGTTAAACCGACTCCTTATAAGACATATAGACATATACATAAACTGTTGTGGATTTTTTTTTTTGTTGTGTCAGGAGCAAGTCGCTTCTGGTGTGAGAGAATTGGCCGTCTGCAAGGACGTTGCCCAGGGGACGCCTGGATGATTTGATGTTTTTATCATCCTTGTGGGAGGCTTCTCTCATGTCCCTGCAGGAGGAGCTGGAGCTCATAGAGGGAGCTCATCCACCTCTCCCCGGATTTGAACCTGCGACCTGTCCTGCCGGCACAGGGGTTTAACCCACTGCGCCACCAGGGGCTTCTACTGTTGTGGATGAGTCTCTGAGTAGTAGTAACAACAGGGAGTTGGAGACTAGGCAGGCAAAAAGGTCTACTCGGGAGCAAGAATCTATTGAAGAGCAACAGCAGAAGAGAATTTGGCAAATACTTACTGAACCCACTGATGAAGAGTCTTTTGAAGGGTTTGATGGGGATGATGGGTTTGGCAATGAAGCAGATTCTATGAGAAGTGCTGGGAGTGACACTGATGGGGTTGGGGAAGAGATGGATTGGACCAAAGTAGCAGAAGTGAGAGAAGTGTGTGAGAAGCCTACAAGTAGTGACACATTCAGAGGGCTTGCTGGGGATGAAACTTGCCACGCGTTCCTGTGGTCTACATGGGGGTTGTGTGTGGAAAGTTTGGCCCAGTTCTATCGTTGGTGGGGTTCAAAATGCTCTGTGATTGTTGGTGAACTATAAATCCCAGCAGCTACAACTCCCAAATGTCAAGATTCTATTTCCCCCAAATTCCACCAGTGTTCACATTTGGGCAGATTGAGTATTTGTGTAGAGTTTGGTCCAGATCCATCACTGTTTGAGTCCACAGTGGTCTCTGGATGTAGGTGAACTACAACTCCAAAACCAAAGGACACTGCCCACCATTACGCAAAGTAAGCATTTGCAGTATAGTTGATTTTGCCTGGGGCACTCTTGGGGGAAAATAGACCTTGACATATGTGAGTTGTAGTTCCTGGGATGTATAGTTCACCTATAATCAAAGAGCATTCTGAACTCCACCAATGATGGAATTGAACTAAATATGGCACACAGAACTCCCACGACGAACAGAAAATATATATGAGTGATTGGTTTTGGGGGGGGGGGGGGGGCACCAAAATACTGTTTGCTTACCGTTGAAAATTACCTAGGGCCGCCTCTGCTGCCCACCAAACCCTTCCAGTATTTTCTGTTGGTCATGGGAGAACTGTGTGCCAAGTTTGGTTCAATTCCATCATTGGTGGGGTTCAGAATGCTCTTTGATTGTAGGTGAACTATGAATCCTTAGCAACTACAACTCCCAAATGACAAAATCAAATTTTTTTAGTGAAGGACATACATTGGGTTGTTAAGTGTCTTGCTGTCAATTTGTCCAGTGGTTTTTGAGTTCTGTTAATCCCACAAACAGACATTACATTTTTATTTATATAGATTATTATTGTTGTTGTTGTTGTTTATTGGGTAATAAGACTTTCTCTAGACAAAGCAACACATGCATTCCTTGGATTGTGATCTCAAACATAACATAGTGATTCCCATATGATAAATATTCCCATTGTGTCATCTAAAATATGGAGCATAACCAAAAGAAGGTGAGCAAACAACTTTGAACTTCCTGCCAGTGTTGGTTCTCCAGGAGTTGGCCAACCTTTGTCTGCCAGATGTACGGATGATGGGAGTTGTAGTCCAACAACTTCCTAGAGCTAGAATTCATGTGACACATCTGGTGCAAGGAACATCTAGCGCTTGGGGAAAACCCTCGAGCACTGACTAGCATGACACATTGTGTGGAATCCCCAACAGGATCTTACGGAGGTAAAAATTGTAAAACAACAACAACAATTTGTTACATGGCTCTCCACAGTTCAAACACAGCGGCATCAGAATGCATATATTAAAATAACGTATATGAAGATTAAAATACAATACTAATAGAACGTCAAGTTGGAACTCATAGTTTTGGATTTAGAAAAGCAAGTCGGAACAACAAGAACTGTCATTGGTTAGTTGCTGTAGGTTTGCTTGTTTTTCAGATTAAGAAATAAAGCAATTGCTTTTGTATTTCGTGTCATTTGTTTCAATAATAATAATAATAATAATAATAATAATAATAATAATGGTATAGTGGGTTAAACCACTGAGTTGCTGAACTTGCTGACTGAAAGGTCGCAGGTTCGAATCCGGGGAGCAGGGTGAGCTCCCATTGTTGGACCTAGCTTCTGCCAACGTAGCAGTTCGAAAACATGCAAATATGAGTAGATCATAGCTACCGCACTGGCAGTCATGCTGGCCACATGACCTTGGAGGTGTCCACGGACAATGCCGGCTCTTCGGCTTAGAAATGGAGATGAGCAACAGGCTCCAGAGTTGGACACGACTGGACTTAATGTCAGGGGAAAACCTTTACCTTTGTCCAATAATAATTTATTTCTAACCCGTACTTCTTTCCCCGAAGTGCGGGTTAGAAATAAATGTCTTTGTCATTTGTATGATTGTATGTTTGTTCCTTTGAATAAGAATTATTTTAAAAGAGCAAGCATTGTAAAATTATTGTTATTCAAAGTGACGTATTATTATTATTATTATTATTATTATTATTATTATTATTATTACTAATTGCTGTTACGATCCAATAACTCTGTTGCGGAGGTACAATGGGTTAAACCAGTGTTTCTCAACCTTCCTAATGCTGCAACCCCTTAATATAGTTCCTCGTGTATTGTTGTGACCCCCAACCACAAAATTAGCGACCCCTCTGACACAGTTGGGGTCCCAATCCCAGGTTGAGAAACACTGGGTTAAACTCTTGTGCTAGCAGGACTGCTAACCAAAAGGTCGGTGGTTCGAATTCAGGGAGCGAGGTGAGCTCCAGCTTCCCATGCAAGGATGATGGGGAGATACTGGAAAAATAGATATTTATTTATGCATATATTGTATGTACTTTACAAGCACTGAAATGTATAGAAAAATCAGGTTCTCTCTCTGTATTAGAAAGAATGCTGAAGGAGATCTGTGTCCAAGGCACGGGCAGGAGGGGGATGAACATTCCAGGAAGGGGGGAGATAAGCCCATCCTAGTAGAACACAGAGATAAGTAAAAAGTAAGGAGCCAATCTCTCTCCCTCCTGACAAGTCAAAGTAGGCCCCTTGATTGATGAATGTAAGCTGTAAGCTGTATGCTGCTCTTTAGAAAGAAATACAGAGACATGCCTTTTGTATGTTGGAAGATAGAATTTGATATTTCTATGATGCTAAAGTGACGCAGAGAATGATGTCAGTGTATGTAGAAGCATGTTTCTTTGTTTGCCTGCATTTGAAGTGTATAAAAGGCAGTCAACGCCTTTATTGGACACTCTGGTTGCTTTTGGACACAGCTCCACTCCAGGGTCCCAGCTGGAAATAAAGCCGAAAAGGATCTCTCTTGATATTATCTCTTGATATTATCTCTCCAATCATGCTGCAACAGAGACATGAGAGAAGCCTCCCACAGGATGGTAAAACATCAGCTAAAGGAGCCGCGGTGGCACAATGGGTTAAACCCTTGTTCCAGCTGAACTGCTGACCTGAAGACTTGAAGGTCGGCGGTTCAAATCCATGAGATGGTGAGCTCCAGCTTCCCATGCAGGGACATGAGAGAAGCCTCCCACAGGATAGTAACACATCTGGATGTACCCTAGGCAACATCTCTGTAGACAGCTGACTCTTTCATACCAGAAGCAACTTTCAGTATATTCTCAATTCATGTCTGACACAATTTTTAAAAAGTTACAAAATAAGGCCTAAATTGTATATACCGTATATACTCAAGTATAAGCCGACCCGAATATAAGCCGAGGTACCTAATTTTACCACAAAAAACTGGGAAAACGTATTGACTCGAGTATAAGCCGAGGGTGGGAAATGCAGCAGCTATGGGCCAATTTCAAAATAAAAATAGATGCCAATAAAATTACATTAATTGAGGCATTTGTAGGATAAATGTTTTCGAATATTTACATAAAACTGTAATTTAAGATAAGACTGTCCAACTCTGATTAAACCATTATTTTAACCTTCTTCAATGTGATATGTGATTACATATCCTTCCAATAATAATAAAGAGAGCAAAATAATAAATGTGATAAAAATAACTAAGTAAAATAATGTAAATGTAATAATAATAATAATAATAATAAATAGAATAAAATAATAAATGTAATCAAAACAGTAATATAGAGAGTAAAATAATAAATGTAATAAAATAATAATAGAATAAAATAATGTAAATGTAATAATAGAATAAGATAATAAATGTAATAAAAATAATACTTATAACAGAGTAAAATAATAAATAACCTTGACTCGAGTATAAGCCGAAGGGAGCTTTTTCAGCCTGAAAAAGGGACTGAAAAACTAGGCTTATACTTGAGTAGATACAGTATGTTTGTCTATATATATATATGCATCTTACCTAGAAAGATGTGGATGAGTAGGATTTGGCAGCCCTTGCTGCTTGCCATGGTGACTTTCCGCAATGCAAATGAATGGCAGGATCCAAGGCAACTGCAGGCAAGGCAGCTCCTGCCAAATAAGTTGGTGAATGGGAGAGTGTTGATGTTTTAACCCTCCTAGGCTTGCATCATGTGTGAGGTCAGGATTCCTTTGGATTGACTTACAGCCAGTGATTGTGCACCTCGAAACCATAAAAGCCGGCCGGGGACCCACCCTGGTCGCCTTTGAAGTTGCCACACACTTAGCAATTAAGACATTTTTTTCCGTCTAGAGAGGAAGTTGAGGAGTGAAGT